ATGGATGCAGTATAGGACAAGGGGCAGGCCTTTGTTTTTTGTGTTTTTAATTGATGCATTTGATTTATTGTATTAGAGAAGAATATTAGAAGTACTATGGACTGCCAGAAGAACAAACAAATGTGTAATGGAAAAAGTACAGTCAGAATGTTCCTTAGAATCCAAGATAGCTAGACTTCATCTCTCATATGTCGGACATATTATCAGGAGGCAACAGTCCATAGAAAAGGAAATCATGTTTAGTAAAAGGAGGAACAGAGAAAAAGAGGAAGACCCCCAGATGATTGGTACAGTGGGATCAGCAATGGGCTCAAGCATAACTATAATTATGAGGATGGTGTAGGACTGGGCAGTGTTCCGTTCTGTTATGCATTGGGTAACTATGAGTCAGAACCAGCTTGATGGCATCTAACCATAACAATACAATCATTTGATGGGAGTTACGAAGACTTTGGATAAAAAATCCTTGTCAAGTAAATTCATGGTATCACATGTACCCACACCAGTTGTTTCATACCTTGATAGCTAACCAATTACAAAATTTACAGATTCAAAGAGAATTTAGATCTCATCTAAATACCCATCTTTCTACTCCTGCTGCATTATTAATTTTTTTTTTTTAATGTTTAATAATCTTTAATAGGCAAACCAGAGTCATTCTTCTTAGGTAACAACCTCTATGAAGAAAAGCTTTTTTTTTTTGTAAAACATACTATGCATATTATTTGTTTATACTTCATGTACTATCTGACACTATACATTGTTGTTGTTGCTGTAAAGTGCTGTTGAGTCAGTTCTGACCTGTATAGGGTTTCCAAGGAGTGACTGATGAACTTGAACCGCCGACCCTGCATTCAAAGCGAATTTGCAGTCCAGTGCATTAACCTACAGTGCCACACCAGGACTCCAACATTATACATATACACACATATATAGAATGTATGTATGTACATATAAAGGTGCATGAGAGTTTCAAAAAGTTCATGTAAAATGGCATTCTAAACAATGGAATTTTTCCATGAACTTTTTGAAAAGACCGCCTACATATACATATCCATGTATATGTGT